GTGCGAGCTCCGCAGCAGACTTCTACCCGACAGCCAAAGCGGCATTACGTCACGAAAATACGGACTCCGAGGAAGACCACGAGGGTTTAGGGTGCCATTAGGGACAGGGCCTGTGTGTGTGTGTGTGTGTGTGTGTGTGAGTTAGTGTGAGGTGTGTGTGTGTGAGGTGTGTGTGTGTGTGTGTGTGAGGTGTGTGTGTGTGTGTGTGTGTGTGTGATTCTCACCCCGTTCTCCTCCAGTGTTGCCAGCGGTTTGTTGATGCTGTTGACAAACTTGTTGACGTGTTCGAAGTGTTTGGTCATCTCAGTGGCGAGGACCATGTCTATGACGGCCTGCCGGAGCGTTCGGTATTCGTTCCTGTGAGAGAGAGAGCGGCGTCAGCGGGGGTGTGTGTGACCCTGTGTCAGAACAGGGTCTGAAATGCTTTGAGATCCGATCAGTGAGTCCACATTCACCATCAGAGACGCATGAGATCACATCATACTGAAAATACACACACACACACACACACACACGCGTCCTGAACCTGCTCACCTGTCAATCAACCACTGCACTAAAACAAGAGGAAAGTTCAGAACATCTGCAGTGACGGACATCAACAAGTAATCAACGCTCCGTTTATAGAGCGCAACAGCGAATCACAGCGTTTGCAAAACAGGGACAAGGCCGTCCATAACATCTTCACTGAGGGAATGAATAGCGTGTACCTCTCTATGTTCTTGAAGATGTTGCACTTGTCGTCTCGCGTGGTGATCTGGAAGGCCAGCGCAGCGTGGTGACTCTCCAGCACGGCTGTGTCGTTGTACAGTATGGCTAGTTCACTTCCTGCGTTACACAGGAAGGAGTTTGTACGTCCAGGGTGATCGACATCATGCACGGCAGCCGCGATCAGAGCCGCCACCTCGTCTATGGGGTCCAGACTTTGCTGAGAAAGAGACACAGGGAAACATATGAAGCTGCAGTAACACTGAGCTGTGGTCCCTGCGCTAACACCATCACGACTGCATGCCATCTTTCATTAGCATATGCTGACCATCACTGCTACTGCTAGTCAAACTGTGTCAAATAACTGTGAATCACGTGACTTCAGCGGAGTCTGTTCTGTGCGGTGTAAGAAATGTTCACAAGCCGCATGCAAAAATAAATAATTTGTTTTTAACAGGACATAAACAGCAACATGAAGTGAGGATCAGCCAAACCCGTTCACAAAGCAGGTTCTAAGTGAAGCGGATCATGTTTTTGTATCTTGATGACACAAAGAGTTAGCGAGTGCTGTGTGTGTTCACCTTGACGCGCTCCTTGCGCAGGAAGTATGCGGTGGCGTGGAGCACGTCTGCGGCGTGTGTGGAGTTGTGGTAGGAGTTGCTGGAGTGATAATTGGTCTCAATGATCTGCAGCCAGGAGCGCAGCGTCGCCTCCGGACAGCTCAGGAACTCACAGACACCGAACCGAGAGAAGATCTTCAGACCCAGATACGTTAAAGGCCTGGAAATAAACACCGTGAGGCTTGAGGACCAGCTGCTCACCTGACCGTCACACACACACACACACCTGTACAGAATCTACACCAACACTACATGAGTGTGTTTAGATGCAGTAAACCATCATCAGAAGTGAGCTGACTGGAAAAATCCACGACCAACCAAAACAAACCAGTAAACAAAGTACATAATGTTCACATTATCTCGTGTGTTTTGTGTTTTCTGTAGACTGTGTGTGTGTGTGTGTGTGAGTGTGAGTACGTGCGTGCGTGTGTGATTATCTAAATGCAGAAATGTTAATCCATGCGTTCATGACCTCAATGTTAGATTATTGTAAAGTTTGGGTGGTTGTTCTGCACGCTTAATAAACAAACTCCAGCTGGTCCAAAATGCAGCAGCTAGAGTTCTGGAGAACCAGGAAGTATGACCATATTAGCCCGGTTCTGTCAACACTGCACTGGCTACCTATTAAACATCGTATAGATTTTAAAATCTTGCTAATTACTTATAAAGCCCTCAATGGTTTAGCACCTCAGTATTTGAACGAGCTCTTATT